AATTTTCCAGGGCTACTGAGGAATTTGCCTACATAGTCAGACCAGAATCTCGAGGGTGCAGCGAATGAGCGTTTCAGGTAACAGGCATCCAAAAGTAAGCTTCAGCAAAATGCACTTTCAGGAACTATTTCAACCCTGAGGAGTCTCAAAAGAATTGGGATGGGACGCCCAATTTTGGAAGGCTTCTGCTTTTATGGAACAGCGGAAACAAAATAGTTGTGAATCCCGCAACAGAAAAAGGCTGTGTCTGTTACGAAATTGAACGGACTGAGCCACGTGGTGCCCACGTCATGAGGACATGGGGCGGGGTCATCAGGAATTCTTGTTCTCCCTGCATATCGTGCAGCACCCCCAGGGCCATACACATCAGCAGGGCCCAACACATGTCATCTGACCACGGGAATGGCCTCATACAGTCAAAACATATCCCCCCAAAATCACAACTGTCTAGAGCACCTTGTGCATAATTCTAGCGTTATGTTTGCCATAGCATATTGTCCTCATATTCTAATGTCTGTCCCTCCCTGACTGTGAGCTGTCAGGGCCCTGGATTGCCTTTTATGTCTCTGCATGTCCCAGGCCCAGCCCTGTGCTCAAAAAGGAACTTTGAATTGACCCAATAGATACAGCTTTCTCATCAAAGCAGAGCTTAGGCGCCCACCTTACAAGATGTCTGCTACATTTCCACTCCGTGCTCCAAACAAAGGAACTGAAGCACAGAAAGAGCCTGAGGTCATGCAGGTCCGTGAGGAGCAGAGCGCATTCAGGGCTCCAGTTCCAGGCCAGGTGGATCAAACAGCTACCAAAATGACATGATAACTCCAATCTTGGGAAAACTTAAAAAAAAAAATCAAAATGGTTGGTATACTATCAGCAAGGTAATTAGTTAATTAAAACCTATTTTGTTATGCTAGATTGTATGTGGAAAGAGAGCTCAATTATAGTGAGCCTGATACTTCCTGGGATAATTTAAACAACAACAGTAATAATAATGGAACATGAAATGGGTTCCTCCAGCTCTGCTCTAGAAACTCAGGGGCAGACTCCGTGCTCATTAGTCAAAGACACAGGCGGTTGAACTCTGGGAAATCAGGAGCAGAGTCCCCTGAGGAAAAATTCAAAGTCTTTTCCTCTAACCCTGCTCTTACTAATTCTACAAGTTTCTCCCCCTTGACAATGGCTCTGCCCCGAGGACATCTCTGGGGGCGTGATTTTCCAAGGTCTTTATTGAAAGCACCACCTGGAAGGAGTGATTACCTAACAATTTGCCAAAAGGGAGGGCTGCAGAACCTTTGGCATTTTTGAATTGCAACTGTTTTCTGTCATCGTAAAGAAAAAGCTAATCATTTTTTCCAGCAAACCACCCCCTCTGTCTCCTGCACAGACTATTACGAAATTGCCAAAGACCACACACTTGGCTTTCTCTGTTTTCACAGTTTTTAAAGCCATCATCAAAAGGCAAAAGGAGCCCGAGACGAGGATTTCTTTCCAGCACAGCATCTGAAGTGGAATTCCATTGGTAGAATGCTATTCTCTTCTGGCTACTTTCCATGAGTTCCATCTTCTTATTAAGTGTTTATCATCTTGCTTAAAGAAAAAGGAGACAAAAAATCTCAAACTGTGTCCAATTGGGAAAGTGCCATGCAGCCCTTACAGTCATGCTATCGAATACTCTGGAAATGAATTTTAAAGACCAAAAAATTTAGCTCATAATATAAAAGTTCAATTTACGATAACATTTATCTCCACGTTAATAAGGAATTTGCAAACAAAGATGATTATCCAGGGCTTTGAAGATGTACACCATGAATCAATCCAGCTACATATTAGTGATCCAAGGCAGTTGGTTTTAACAGACTTGGCCTGTGTAAGATGTTTCTTTTTTATGTGAAATTATGTTGAGAGAATTTTGAAATGCATACCATCTGAGTCACAGGCACTGGCTCAGAAGCAGGAATTTCACACAAACATATTTTAGCAGCAAATCAATGATGTAAAGTTTGTTTTCAAGGGACAATAAAATAAATGATTCACTTCCAAAACCAATCTGACCCATGGGGCAGGGGAGAACATGTCATTGGGCCCAAAGTTGAGGAAAGTCACCAGAGTTGCTCATCATTTCATCATACAGAGCCCTCCTGTGTCCTGTGTGCCGTGCTGCCCGAACAGAGACCTTCCGCTACCTTCCCCTCTCAACCTCTCCCTTCGAACATGTATTCCAGCAGCTGACAGCCAGCTCCTCCAGGGTCTCACAGTGTGATTCAGGCCGCCTTGTCATCCTTTCACCAAGCTTCTCACCACCTCCCAAGCCTAACCTTCCCCTGGCCTCCTGGACAACAGCGTCCAATTCAGGCTTCCCTCACATACACACTTTTAGATTGATACAGATGAGACATTCTTAGAGTTTTTGTTTATACTCCAATTTATATTTTTAATGGCTCAGGAATTAGTACTTATCACAAATAATGGCACCTTTAATGCCTCGAGTCGCTCTGTGACAGAGTGTGCTATTCCTATTACATGGATTTTTCCACCCTACGTCTGACTTTCCAAACCTAACTCCTTCTTGCAGACTTAATTCAAGTATTATCTGTATTAAGAAACCTTACCTACTTCTCCTGTTCCTTGTAATTTTTCACTTCTCACTGTTTCCATTCCATCTAGTATCTGTTGCTATAATTCAGGGTTTATTATCTACTCATGTTTTATTACTCTTGAATTGTTTCATGCATGTAATTTGGTCTCCCTCCTAGATATCTCAGGGAATCCGAGGTTAGGATTATTCTTCTATGATATTCCCTATGAGGCCTGGTCACAAAGTGTCACTCAATAAGTAGTAATGGGTGGAAATAGACCCTTGAAACTGTTGTAAAGCTGAAGTGGTAATATCTTCATACAACTAATCTCTGGAGCATTGCCTTGACTAGTATTGAGTTTCATTTTATTTGAGACATGTTGCTCTCATTTTGAATCATTTATTTGGTATGGGGGACAGGGAGTAAGCGAGCAAAGGGGAAAAGACTGTAAAAAAGTCTGAGACCTACATGCCCTGTGTGGCGGGAAAGAGTGGTTCCCAAACACTGCAGTGCATTGGAATCGCCTGGGGCGTTTACTAAAAATAAGATTCAAAACTTTAAGACTCATGCCAAAACTCCTTAAAAGATACCTCCTGATGTGAAATCAGGATCTTACCTATATTTTAACAAGCTTTCTAAAGGTTCCGGGCAGCCAGTTTGATGCAGGCCATTGGGTTGGCCTTTGGAAACCCCTCATGTAAACAATGGGTTCAACTCCAGGTTCGGAAATTTAAAAGCCATGTGATTTAGTATCAGCTACTTAAACGTTCTGATCCTCACTTACTTGCCTATGAAATTGGAAAAATTACACCCAATAGCAGTGAGGAGATGACCTGTTCCTATTACTGTCCCCTGGTGTGACTTTGTCCTCTAGGCCTAGGAATATGGAGTTATTTTTCTATTCTGGGGAGTGTCAGTCATCTCAGCACCAATCCTCCTGGAAAAGAAGACACTGAGACCAGAGGTGGAATCTTCCAGGGTAGCTTTAAACTGGAAGATAATTTCAAACTGTCTCTGGGGTCTCCCAGCCTAGGCTTGCTGTGAAGCGTTCCTAGGTGGGAGAGTGGGAGGGATGAGTTGGCTTCTGCCACAGGAGGTCAGCTTAGAGACTGCCTGCAGGGGACCCTAGGAGATGGGTTGATGCCTGAGGGTTTAGGAAGAGCCGCATGTAGTAGCAAGTTGTCCATTATTCATTGTATAAAGTGCTCTTTCTATTATCCTGGAAACTTAGGAAAATCTTGTCAAATATTACAAACTGGTCTGAGTTACATAGTAGCAAATGAAGGGAAGGGTGGATGTAGATACCTGCACTAAAATGGTAAAGGAGAGATCAGAGTAATGTTATCTACGTCCTAAAGGGAAAGTAAATTTTGGAAGAAAAGCATTGAAATTATGAATTTTAGACTATATAAAGAATCTTTTTCCTTATACCACTAAAGTAAATTGGCTTTATTTATTTATTTATTTATTGGCTTTTTTTTTCATACAGAAAACACCTAGTGACTAAGCTTAAAAATATATGAGCCCACCGGTATCAGTTAGGTACATATTAGGCTGCTGTATCAAAGACACCCAAAACAGAATGGCTTAAACAAGATGGTGAAAACCTACAAGTAAGCAGTCCACACTGACAGCACCAAGGCTGTCAACAAAAGACAGAAAGAATTTGCATCCTTAGCATCAACATTCCTACTTTAGTTCAAGTCTTTATCCGCCATCTCTTCATTGGATTATTGCAATAGGTAGTACAGGGACCCAGACTATTTCCATCTTGTTACTCTGTGTATTCTCACTATGTTAGTGTTCTGTATCCTGACCAAAGATGGTTGCCCCACCTCCCACCACTCCAACCCACGGGAAGAGGAAAATAAGGAGGAGGAAGCATGCTGCTTTTATTTAGAAGTTGCTCACATCACTTCTGCACATATTCCAAGGCCTAGAATCTAGAGCCAGTGGCCAGACCAAGATGTCAAGGAAACTAGGAAATGTAGTTTTTAGCTGGGAAGCCAAATGTCCAGCTGGAACTTCTAATACTATAGCCAAAGAGGAGGCCAGATATTGGGGGTCAAATAGTTGTTTTTGCCACATCACCCTATAGAAGGTGATCAGTAAAATATCTTTCATTCTCCTCTAAAGAGCCTCTGTAGGATCCACTGTGGAGCAGCACACACAAGGGCTGTCCCATACACAAGCAGTCGAGCTCCGAGAGGGAGTGACAGAACAAGTTCCAGAGGTCCTACCTAAATCAGCAATTTCTTCTCCAAATGTATGTAACTTGATCAATTAAGGACATGCTTTCCAAAAATTTATGTATTTTTCAGCAAAAATAATTATATACAAGATATTAGGTCTGGAAATAAACAGATGAAAAATATTCATTCCCTACCTTTGAGTCTACTTCAGTGAAAGGGATATTCATGGGAACAAAGCAGTAAGAGCTCAAATCACAGCATAAATGAAATGATGTGACCACACGATGGTGGAAATGACTCTCCCGGTGTGAGATGAGAGGGAGGTAAGCAAAGTCTTCACAAAACAGAAGAGACTCCACTTTCCTGTTAACAGATGAAAAGGGCAGGACTAGCTCAGGAAGGCCAAGGACGGAGGACAGCGATGCTTGGTGTGACTGAGGTAGAGGTTTGTGAGGGAGTGACAAGAGAGTGGTGGGAGGTGCTATAGAAATAGGCATGAGCCAAATGGCAGAGGCTTTTCATGCCCCACTCAGGGGCTTTCTTCTGGGCAGCAAGGAGTCAGTGTGGGGTACCAGAAAAGCAAAGTCTGTTTTGCAGGAGAATCACTATGGTGACAATGTGAAGTTGGTGGAATTATCGATAAACTATAGTAAGAAGATTAGTTTGGAGGCTCTTGCAGATATTGCAATAATCCATAGAAGAGGTGATGAATAAAGGCTTGAACCAAGGCGGAGGTGCTAATGTCAGAGAAGGAGGGGATGGGAGATACTTCAGATGTAGACCCCAGGGATGGGTGAGGGGCAAAGGCAGGAAGTTGCACAGGATGAATTAGAGTTCTCTAGCTTAAGATCCCAAGCATAGAGTGATAAATTAGTTGAATATGTGAGATGAATCAGAGTATTTTCTTTGGTTGGTTGGAGCAGGTGGCTCCTATGCCCGCAATTCATAGGGTTCATAGGAAGGTGAAGACAACCTCTTATTGCCATTACCAGATTCAGAAAATTATTTCTCATCCCTCACAGAAAAACTTTTCATTTAAGACTCATTTCATTCAGCTCCACCCCCTTCTAGTCTTCCTTATCGCTGTCACTATCAATCTCCGAACTGTCCCGTTAAGGATTTTCACCTGGTTCATGGTCTCTCTCTCCACCATCATATCAGTTGACTTTAAGTCCATGTGTACAACCCATATTAGACTTGAGCCTCCTGTTTTCTTGACCTTTTCAAGTTCATTGACCACCTTGGCTTCATGTGAACTCACACATTTCTTGTGGAAAGAACTTTCTGTCAGCCAATTCACATAGGAAGACAATCAATCATATAGTTACAAGAGACCGTAAGATTAATACAGTTTCTAAGGAAAACACAACTATTTCTGGCACTAAGGAAGGGAAAATCCTCCCATGCATCCTCATGAAAAGGACAGGAGATTTTTAAAAAATGAACCATATTCTTAATATTTGTACAACAAACACAAGTGAAGTTCATCAGTCTCTTTTATAAGCTTCTGTTACTGTATGCCAAGAGCACGACTCCAAAGCAGAATTCCATAGCAGCCCAAATAATGCAGTTCTCTTACCCTCCTCCCCTCAAAAGAAGAATTCTTTGATCAAACATTTGGAAAGTGGTGGGCTACATTTTATTGCAAAAGTCTCACAACACTGTTTAGGAAAGAATAGCTTATAAATCGAGAGCAGTGCAAATATCTTTAGGAGAACCAAAGGGTATCTCGTGCTCTTATCCCTGTTAATCATCTCTCTAAACCAAGCTGGATGGATCCATGATGCTGGTCACACTGGGATGGGACTGCTCTCCCAAGAAAGTGATATTTCAAGTCTGTGTCTTCTGCTTGGGCTGAGATTGTTGTTCTTCTTTTCATCGAGGAACCTGGCAAGGAAAATGAACCTGGATGAAAGGCCAGCTCTTCCAGTGCAGAGGTGGCCCAAGGGAGTATTCCACAAGCTGGGCCTCTGTTCTCCCAAGATGTAGTCAGAGCTCATTCCAAGGCATGGACAAAAGAGCAGTCAGGCTCTCCCAGGCACCCACTCAAGTTTGTCTCCATGGGAGATAGCCACGATAATTTCAGCCTGATACAAATTGCATAAGGTGTTGTCCTTAGCTCTTAAGAAAACAAAATGGAAAATTTCAGTAAAATAATAATTGGTATTTAACTTTGTTCTCTACTTCAAAATAAACTGACAATAAATAAATTGATAATTAATAAACTGATTACCTAAGACACTCCAACTTGGTTAATTTACTGTAAGGAGTCATTGACCCTAAATAAGTTGAATGTTGAGGGTTTCTCAAGATTCTTTACTTGTTTAATTGTTGACCTGTAGTCCTTTGGGGGAGTTCTAATTAATTAACAGTATCTGTTGTCCATTATGGTTATTCCTGTTTCATGACAATGAACTTTCAGCTGCTCTCTAGAGCCATACAAACCCATCCACTGACATTCTCATCAAAATGAACAGGGCAATCTAGAGGGAAGGGAAGCACAGACACAGAGCTGAGGCAATATTCCAAGTGTAGCAATAAATGAATAAAAGCAGTAAGTGCATTTAATAAACATAATCACATGCACTGTCAATCTACAACAAGGTAAACACACACATATTTAAGGATATGTAAACACTTCGTTACTCTGGTACTGGAATCATATCTACACAAGATGGTCTCTCACTCACTCCTCTTTCTCCCTTCCCTCCCTCCCTCCCCTCCCTTAATAGTGTTTAGTGAGCATCTATAATGTGTTAGCCACTATGTTCAGCATGGAGACTAGAAATAAGAAAGACATTATTTCTGCCCTCAAAGAGGTTACAGTATAATAATGATCTCAAGATGATCAATAATTCTGATTGTTGGCTGTATGTGTCTTTGATAAAACCAGAAAACTAAGGAAGTCAATTAATTATTACTTAATACATCCATTCAGGAGGCAAAAATCTTTCTAATCTGGAATCTATAGGGCAAAAACTAATTAAAGCGGATTCCAATTGGTGAGAAAATTGGAAAGTAGTGTGACTCAGAAAATCAAATACACGCATAGTCATTAAACACTCATCCAGCAATTATTTTTTTTTTTAAAGATTTTATTTTTCCTTTTTCTCCCCAAAGCCCCCCAATACATAGTTGCATATTCTTCGCTGTGGGTCCCTCTAGTTGTGGCATTTGGGACGCCGCCACAGCGTGGCTCAATGAGCAGCGCCATGTCCACGCCCAGGATTTGAACCAACGAAACACTGGGCCACCTGCAGCGGAGCACGCGAACTCAACCACTCGGCCATGGGGACAGCCCCTCATCCAGCAATTATTGTTTAAATTTTTGTACAAGTTACTTCATATTCTATTAATAATAAAAATAAGATTCAGGTTATTTGTACTTTTAAAAGTATGTGCACATAAACACACATTTTTCTGAATAGTCTATATTAGCGAGATATATTTTTATATAAAAATAATAAAATATGTCCTTAACCATTAAAAAAATCAGAAATGTTTATTAATAGCTCTTGGTGAACATCCAAAATTGCTTCTCCATAACCTCCAGTCCGACCAATCTTTCCAAGAGAAGTTGTATGACATCTCTCTGCTCGGCCAGTGGCCAAGACACCTGGCAGTCTCCTCAGAAGGGCTCCACCCATCGTCCTGTGCAGGACCCAGGTAGGGCATCCTCCGTGCAGTGGGCTCACCCAGGGACAAACCACCCCAGCAAATTACACAGAGGAAGATCAACACCTGCGTTTGGTTATATTCAAGGTCTCCGTCAGGATAGAGACCACCTGTAGACTCGTGACAGACTCATGTCACAGTACTCCACTGTAGCTCAGAAGTTTTGAGAAGTGCTTTTAAATTACCCTCATCTCACTTACAAAGGAAGATGGCACATGTCTCTAACAAGCAAGCCACTTAGTGAAACCACATGGGACAGAAAGTGAGAAGAACATCCTGTTTGACCAAAATTACAGGAGTAATTTAAGAAGTCGGAAAGTCATTACCCTAGTTGGAATCTGAACAGGAAACCAGGATTAACACCCTGAAGCCTTTAGGTAAAGTGCCAAGAACTCTAATGACCTAACCATTTAGGGTGTTAAGGAGCTGATTACTAGAGGAGGCTGAACAACCTAGAACATCCTTTGGGATAAAAACTACATGTAAATTACTGTCACTACTTGCGAATAATGTTGATATTTAATTCCTTAACTCTTTGTATGGAGGCCACTTTCAGGAAAATATGAATATTTTGTCATCATATATTTAATAATGAAGCAAAATTTAAACTCAAGAGAAAGACCATTAAATATAGGAAAAAGCATTTCTTTCAGTCTGGTAATTTAGCTCTTACTTGAACTCTAACTCATAGTTTAAAAACAAAAGTAAGAATGACAAACAGAACACTGGAAAATATTAATTAGCACTCAGTGTGCAGACTAGAAATAGTTATGGATAAATATCCAAGAACTTTAAGAGGCTGGTTGGCCTTATATGTACCAACACTTCTGAATCTCTAAAGCTTTACTTTAGAGATTTTTAGAGTCCCAAATAAAGAATTTACTTGGAACTTCTATAAAATTGAATAAGAAGCCATACGAGACTGGACATGCTATGACAGATTATATTATTATTCCCAACTATTCATTCTCTCCCCTGTAAAATGACATACCTCCTGCCTGTTGCTCTGTGGCTTGCAGTGCCTCTGTGTAAGCAGAATACATCTCCCAATGCCACTGCATGGCTCAGCCACATGGCTTTATCGGACTAAAGAAATGAGAGCAGAGATGATTGTGTGCAGAAGTATTGTGGGTTTCCCCCAGCTTTCTTGCATTTTTCTTCTTCTACAAGGATGGCTTGTCCCAAATGGATACTGTTCCTTCAGCCTAGGTCCAAGAATGAGAAGATACTCGATGCAGAGCCAAGCTAATCCAAGGTGAGCTATGGCAGCCACAGCCAATTGTAGTCACGAACATGAAATTTCAAGAAGAAATAAACATTATGGTAGACCATGGAGACTTAGGGACTATTTGTTACCACAGAAGGCTGCCTAATGTATGTTCTTTCCTGATGTGGGATCAATAAACATAATTTCACAGAAAATCATTGTGCGAGTAAAAATTGACCATAAAGACCTGATGAGGAGATGTGTCTTGTTGTCTATACAACAGGTAACATACATCTTTCACTTAAAGGTGGAAAAAATTTTCTTCTTCTCTACTTCCATGTCTATCTGATTTACACATAGTTGTGTGATAACACAATTTTCCCAGTCACTTGTGGTACTAGAACACACAACAGTGATAAAAATCAAGCTTCCCTTGGGTGGTTCATTATGTCTCCTACAGTTGTTTTCAAACCTCCTTCTAATATAATCTTTTCCTAAACAATCCAGGGGCTTCAATTATCCTAGGATCCTCATTACAAAATTTTATAGACTCCAAACTTCCTATGTCCTGCAGCCTTAGGACCCATGTGACAATACGTAGGACAACTTCAGGACTCTAAAAAAGTCCCTAAAGCACCGTGGAAATACTAGAAAATTAAGGCAGAGTTAGAGGGAGTTATTTTTGGGGGGGTGGTAAAGATCTCTCTAGCACTCCTACAATCATACCCAGACCACAGAGATTATTGGCCACTAGCTTTAAACATAAAGTAAGCCTGTCTGAAAGACTCAAAATGCAGAGGGAATTCCATAGAAAACAAGAGAACCGTAGAATGAATCCAAAAGTCCTAGAAACTCAATAGCCAGGTGGAAATCTCCTCCAATCCTTTGAAGAAGTTGGTTGGGGAAGAAAGGGAATGAAGACATTCTTCCCTTCCTCTATTCATATAAACATTTGCAATGGTTTTCTGAACAAAGAAGAGCAGCTGCTTTCCAGCCAGTGGATCAAAGTGTGCGCAGGTGACGATGGCTGCTTTTTAAGAGGAGCCCATCAGGCACCAAAGTGCAAAGGTGAAAATTAGAACATATGGGGTGAGGAGGTGTTGAAACAGCCACACAATATTTCCAAAAGTTCAGAGCAGATTAGTGTAGGTTATGTCTTAGAGCTGGGAAAATGTTTGAATTGGGAGAGTTTTCATTTTTGCCTGAAGTGATTCTCTGCCTTTGAATTTATACCTTTATAACTATGACATTTTTGTAAAACAAAAGATCTCATTGTTCCTCCTTTCCCCTGTGAACTCTTATTTAATTCATATAGCACACTGGAGTCCTTTCATTTTTCTTTGGTTTCCAGCACAAAACTCTGTAGCATCTTCTTAATTGACAGCCAAATGTTTACAAGCCTACCTTTCCAGGACAGGTACTTTTTATTTGAAATGCCATTGATAGATTTAATTATGTTCAACTTTCTCAAAAAAAAAATCCCATTGGCGCAGTAAAATATATTGAATTTGATGTGTTTGGCTGTAAAAATTTTCATTTGGCCAAGTCTACATAGTCAAAGTCTCCAAGTGTAAATTATAGTGTTATTTGAGATGAAGTATAGAGTCATTTGTGGTGCTCAGGACGACACATGATGTAATCTTACACTCTATCTGCAGGTGTGATATTGGATTCTGTTAGGACAGGCACCTGGTATCAATGTTCAGTCTGGCATTGTTTCAACATGGTCAACCATGGCTGAAGATGACTAAAATGCAACAGCACCCAGCTATGGCAGAATTCCTTTTAAGAAGAGGAATGATGAGTAACAATTACAATGAACTAAATGGTGTCTGATTACTCTTTCTCCCTGAAAAGCACAAAATTCTTGCTCTTTACTGTAATATTGTCAGTACCATGAGAAGATAAAAATGAAACCATCTTACGAATACTAAATATAATAATAACGTGAGTTTTTCATATGAAAATGATACAGATATTGATGACATTTTTCAAATACAGTTGA